ACACACACACACACACACACACACACACACACACACACACACACACACACACACACACACACACACACACACAAAAACTTGCTGTAGACAAAGCAACATGATGCTAAGAGCAAATAGTGAGGAACTGTGCACAGTAATCAATGCTCACCTGGTTTTGTGTCAATGCACCGATTTCCACACCCACTGAAGCAGCACTGTTGATTACTTGGGCAGTCGCTGTCTGTAAAGCACTCTTCATAACATATATCATATTGTGGTTCTGGACATCCTGGCCTCACTTCAAGAACTGAGGAAAKATAGAACTTGAAGTCTTTTTAAAAGCTCAAAATGTAAAAATATGATTTTTGTTCTTGCTCAGGAACCCAGGTGGGATTTTGATAATGCTTTATTCATCTTTAACAACACTACTTAAGTTAAAAATAAACATGTTGTTTAGAATAGAACGGACACAGCACAATTCACATTCAAACTTATTGCATTTTTCATTTTGAATGCATTATTTGTGATATATTCAAATAACAGGTAGGAGGGTAATAAAACGTTTGCACAGTCACCATAGTTTCTGAGAAGTCTTGTGTTAAAATTAATGGAACTGTCTAGTTTTCTGGTGATATATACAATTCAATGAAAACAGATTATACAATGAAGACATTGAAAATACAACAAACTTACCAGGTGGTGGTATAACTGAATATGAGGAAGGAAATAGACAGAATGCTAAAAACAGAGCAGCTATTGTAGAAACAAATGTCTTCATGTTGATTTACTGTCATAAACTGCAGTCTAAGAGCACAGGGGGTCTGGGGTCCTTTTATCTACATATTTAGAAAGATGTCTGCTGACAGACAAACACAAGCAAAGTTCAAGACATGCTATGTGTATAATTTTTTAGTTGAAACCTGGTCCTTTTCCCATTAAGCAAATAATAATATTGTGTAAAGGGACTTTTTTTAGTCTTTCTGATCTTTTTTATGTTTTGATCAGTTGTGCTGACTCTGTTTAGAGTTATTATCTGATGTCCAACACCGCACATCAAATAAAAACAAACACTTTTGGAAAAAAATCTTCCACCTTCCTGAATGATGCACACTTGAATTTATCAAAAGGGTTGTTAAGTGGCTAACCTTACAACATTTTTAATGGTGTAAAGYTTTTGGCAACTGTTGTAAAATATTTATTCTATTGAAATCTGTCCTAGGATAAACTAAAAAACTGAACTGATCGCTTTTAACAGTTCTACTCACTGAAAATATGTTTTTTAGGAGAACTTAGAGTTTGACTTTTAGTCACAAACTAAAGAAACTTTGTAGCTTCAAGAAAAAGATGAATGAAATAAACAAATAYTAACAACTGTTTTGTCTAACATCTGATTGCAGGTACCAATAACTCCATATCGCTCTGACAAATAAAACTTTTAGACGAGTTGTTTACCTTCCTCCTGTCAGTGAGATAAGATAAAGTGGCAGATTAAGGTCGCAGTGATTTGGTCAAAATGACATTATGACTTTAACCTTTTTTTAACATCCAAGTCTAATCAATAAATTTCACTCTGAAGAAATAATTAAACTGTTTTATGTGGAAATTTCTTTCTTGTTTTTATGTTTTTTGACTATATTCAGCAT